TTGTCCCCAAACGTCTCGCAGGGTTACACGCTGGTGGAATACGAAACCTACAAAGAAGCCCAAGCAGCCATGGAGGGACTGAACGGGCAGGATCTGATGGGGCAGCCCATCAGCGTGGATTGGTGCTTTGTCAGAGGGCCTCCGAAAGGAAAACGAAGGTGAGTTGTTGCTTTTGGAAGCCCCAGAACAAACTTTCCCAAATGGCAAGAGACCACGCTCCGTTTAACGTTCTCTTGGTCCGTTTCTGCCTAGGAGTGGCCGTAGAAGAAGCCGAAGTCCAGACCGGAGACGGCGTTGAAGGGGCTTCCATTTTGCAACTCCCGCGCTGTGGGTGCCTCAGACTTCGCCTTCCTAACTCACAGGCTGAATTCAGGAGGATGCAATTGGGAAAGGCTACTATAGCATGTAGTCTTGGCGAAGGGAAAAGGGGTTCCCACTTATTTGCCCTAATTGCCACCTGTTTAATTTTGTACTTGCCTAATTGTTTTTAATTTTTCCCCCCTTAACTTTTTGACTGTGGTTATCGAATGACTTCTCATTTGTGGGGTGTCCTTTGGATTCTGCTCTTTTCTGTGTTTGTAAACATACTCCTGGTTTTAAGCCTGTAAAGAATCTCTGGAGCAGCATTCAGAATAAAAGGCTATGTTTTTTTTAAAAAAAACTGTGTTAAGCCTTTTTATTCCAGGCATCTTCAATCTTGACAGACTCATGGACTTCAACTCCCAGACTTCCTGCTCCTCCAGTCATGTTAGCTCAGGAATTCTGGGAGTTGAAGTCCACAAGTCTTAAATCTTGCCACGTTTGAAGGCCCTTGCTTTATTATAAAGCCTCAAATGGCATAAACATGACTTACACTTGCAACTCCTTATTCATGAGTCCATTGAATAGTACCTGCCCTTTCAAAATTCTAGTGACTTGAGACCCTTTGAACCCGGGAGAGTGCTTATGTCCATATTCGAGTACAGGGTGAAGTTTTCTGTGGGGGTGCAACTAGGCTTTCCCCAACATGGAGAGCCCTTTAAGGCTGAAGACTTCAACTCCCAGCATTCCTAAGCCAACATGCTAAGAATGCTGGGAGTCCTCATCCTAATATCTGGAATCTCAAAGGAGAAGCAGCTTTGCTCCAGAAACTTGCCAAGGCTCAGCTCTGATAACTTTGCAAATTGTTTCATAATTTTTCAGTCTTTGCCCGATCTCTACAATACACCAGGTAGGAAGATCTATCCTGCAAAGCCCAGGGTTCCAATTAGTTTCAGCTCTTCAGGTACATTTTTCCAGACTGTGTTTGACTCCAACATACAATTTTGCTTGCTATTGGTTTTTGAACAGCAGCGAGTTAACAACACAATTGCTGGCAGATCCAGATAACAGATAATCAAGAGTTGGAAGGGACCTTGTAGGTCATTTAGTCCAGCCCCCCCCCCCCCCCCCCACAAAGCAGGAGACCCTACACCATTTCTGACAAATGGCAGTCTAATCTCTTCTTGAAAGCCTCCAGGGATGAAGCTCCCACAACTTCTGAGGGTAAGCTGTTCCATTGGTTGATCGTTCTCACTGGCAGAAAATTCCTCCTTAGTTCCAGGTTAAATCTCTCCTTGTTCAGTTTCCATCCATTATTCCTTGTCTGGCCTTCGGGTATCTTGGAATATAACCTGGCTCTCTGTGGCAGCCCCTCAAATACTGGAAGGCTGCTATCCTGCCTCCCCTGGTCCTTCTCTTCCCTAGACTAGCCAGGCCCAGTTCCTGCAACCGTTCTTCATGGTTGTCTCCAGGCTCCTGCTCATCCTGGTTGCTCTTCTCTGCACTTTTTCTAGAGTCTCAACATCACTTCACCTCACTGTTTTCTTAACAGCTGCAACTGCTTCCTCCAAGCTTCCCTATCATTTTTGCAAATGCTGAGCTTTTTGCAGAATCCATAGCAGGAACTTTCTCTAAAGTTGAGCAAATCTATAGAAAAACACACCATCCTGATGAACTTACTATGGGTCTGTAAACCCAAATGTCCCTGTGTTTGAGAATTGTGCTCCACGTATTGTGAGGGGTGTTGCTCGTTGTGGGAAGAGACCCTTGGAGAGACGGTCAACTCCCAACCAGTAAACCAGTTAAGTCATGTCCCATTCCTGCTCAACCCAAGAGCAGGTCCCTGTGTTGTCACCCCAAAAATCCACAAAATCCTTGTCAATACAAGCAGAAGCCCCGGAGAACACACGTTCCCTCTTCAGAAACCCTGATTTTTTTGAGATGAATTCTTCCTCCTTTAGGGGAAAACAATAAATAAGCCGTATGGGGGAGCTGACATGGGCACTTTTGCAATAATTACAATTACATATAATTGTTTAACTTCGACATTCAGGTAGTCCTCAACTTATGACCACAATGGAGCCCAAAATTTATGCCACTTAGTGAGACAGTTGTTGTTTTGCACTACTTATCGTATTTAAGTGAATCATTGCAGCTGTTATGTTAGTAGCCCACTTGTTAAAGCTTCCCCATTGACTTTGCTTGTCAAATTGCAAAAGGGGATCATATAATCTTCAAACACAGTAACCGTCATAAATATGAAATTCATTTAATGACCATTTAAAGTCATAACAGCACTGAAAAACAGGACTTATGGCTGTTTTTTACACTTTACAACTGTTGCCGCATCCCCTTGGTCACGTGATCAAAATTCAGACGCTGGGCAACTGGTTCATATTTATGACCGTTGCAGTCTCTTGGGGGGGGGGGGAATCAGGCGATCCCCTTTTATGACCTGACAAGCAAAATCAAAGGGGGAAGCCAGATCCGCTTAAGGACCACATTCCTAACATCAATGGCAGCAATTCCCTTAACGACTGGGCAAGAAAGGTCGTTCAAACGGGACAAAACTCACTTAAACATATTATCTTAGCAAAATGATATCTTGGGGGGGGGGCTCCATCGTGGTCGTACATCGAGGACTACACAACCCTACCCCCTGCCCGCTGACGCGCGTCTCTCTCTAAACGTGGGAAGGCACCAAAGGGAGGCGGGGCGGCGCCTCGGCCTCCCTCCCTCCCTGCTTGTGGCCGCGGTGGCTCCTCCTCCTCGTGGCTGGGCGAGCGAACGTGGCAGCCGGCGGAGGCGGCCCTGGCCGAGCCCGCCCCTCCATTTTGCACCGGGCGCCGAGCGGGAGGCTGAGGTGAGGCCGCACGGGGGGCTTTCCTTTCACGGGGGGGGGGGGGGGGGGGGGGGCCTGGGGGGGGGGGGGGAGGGGGAGGCACGTACACGCCGGGCGGCGGCGGCGGCGCAACAGAGCGAATCGCCGAGACGTGGCAATGCCGGGCGGCGCGTGCGCAAACGGTGGCAAATGCCTCCCAGGCCAGCCAGCCTGCCTGCCAGCCAGCGACCCCCCCCAACCTCTCCCCCCCCCCCCCCGTGGCATGTCGGGAGTCGTAGTTCTCTTGGGCGGCCTTGTATCTTTCTATGGTAGGGGTCTTCAAACTTGACTGCTTTAATACTTGCGGACTCTTAACTCCCAGAATTCCAACTCCAGTCATGTTAGCTCAGGAATTCTGGGAGTTGAAGTCCATGAGTCTTAAACTTGCCAAGTTTTGTTTTTTTCCTCTCTTCTTTTGCTTTCCTTTCTTTCGGACTGATTCCTCCCAACGTTTGCTTTTTCTTTCTCCTTTTTTTCACCGGGTTTCCCCCCCCCCCCCTTTCCCCTTTTTCCCCCTCTCCTTCCCCCCCCCCCCCCCCCCCCCCCCCCCCTTTTGGCCTGATTCACTCACACACACACACACACACACACACACACACAATCAGGTTATAATAGAGTTATAACAGAACACCAGAGCTGGAAGGGACCTTGGAGGTCATCTATTCCAACCCCCTTCTCAAGCAAGAGACCCTATATCATTCGGGACAATTGGCTGTCCAGTCTCCTCTTCATAACTTCCAGTGATGAAGCACCCATGACTTCTGGTGGCAAACAGTTCCACGGGTTAACTGTTGGGGAAATTTCAGTAAATAACCAGTAAATGTGTTCCATAGCCGTCTCAAGCTCTCGCTAAACGGGAAATAGGTACTGAAATGAATAAAAGCAGTGCGCATGTCAGCCTCCATGGTCAGCCTCCACGGCCCCAGCTGGTCTTCACTGGCCCACCTCACAGGGCTGTTGGCGATGCTGACAGGCTAAAGGGGAATGGGTGAAATAATTTCACTATTTGCCAGAAGTTCAGGAATTATTTAACAGATAACATAATCAGAGTTGGAAGGGACCTTGTAGGTCATCTAGTCCAACCCCCCGCCCAAGCGAGAGATCCTACACCATTTCTGACAAAAGGCAGTCCAATCTCTTCTTGAAAGTCTCAAGTGATGGCGCTCCCACAGCTTCCGAGGGCAAGCTGTTCCATTGGTTGATTGTTCTCACTGTCAGAAAGTTTCTCCTTATTTCCAGGTTGAATCTCTCCTTGTTCAGTTTCCATCCATTATTCCTTGTCTGGCCTTCCGGTGCCTTGGAAAATAGCTTGACTCTCTCCTCCTCTCTGGGGCAGTCTCTCAAACATTGGAAGACCGCTATCATGTCTCCCCTGGTCCTTCTCTTCCCTAGACTAGCCAAGCCCAGTTGTATGTTTTAGCCTCCAGTCCCTCATCATCCTGGTTGCTCTTCTCTGAACTTTTTCTAGAGTCTCAACCTCTTTTTTATAATGTGGTGAGCAAAACTGGATGCAGGACTCTAAGGCTTTATAGAGTGGTATTAGTACTTCCCTTGATCTTGATTGTATCCCTCTGTTAATACAACTTAGGATTGCATTAGCTTTTTTGGCTGCTGCTGCACGCTGCTGGCTCATATTTAGCTGGTTGTCCACTAAGACTCCAAGATCCCTCTCACAGTTACTGCTATTGAGCCTGGTTTCACCCAGTCTATATGTGTCCTTTTGGTTTTTCTTGCCTAAGTGTAGGACTTTACTTTTCTCTACATTGAATTTCATTTTGTTAGATAGGGCCCAGTGTTCTAGTCTATCATGAGCCTATCTTCTTGGGTGTTAGCTCTTCCTGCCAGCTTAGTATCATCTGCAAATTTGGTAAGTTCCCCTTCTATTTCCTCACCTGTCGTTAATGAAGATATTGAAGAGTCCTGGGCCTAAGATGGAACCTTGTGGCACCCCACTGCTTACTTCCCTCCATGTAGACTTAGACCCATTAAGGACTACTTGTTGAGGACTACGGTTTGCCAGCCAGTTGCGAGTCCATCTAGTGGTGGTGCTATCTATCCCACTTTTTTCTAGCTTACTAAGAAGTAGGTTGTGGTCTACTTTGTCGAATGCTTTGCTGAAATCTAAATATATTATGTCCACAGTATTTTGCTGGTCTATTAATTTAGTCATTGTGTTGAAGAATGAAATAAGATTTTGGGCATCCAGTGAGGATGGGGGGGGGGGTTATTTTAGTTGTCCCACCATCAGGTCTAGTGGTTAAAGCTAAAAACTGGGAGACTTGAGTTCTAGTCCTGCTTCAGGCTGCAGCTACAAGCCAAAAACATGAGTTTGGTTCAGTCACTCTCTCTGGGCTCACCTCACCAGGTTGTTGTAGGGAAAATAGGAGAAGGAAAGATTATTGGGTATATTTGCTGCCTTGAACAATTGATTAAAAATAATAAACATGGGATTAAAATTTAATCAAGAAGTTCCAATCGTAGTATAGCAATAGCAATAGCACTTAGACTTATATACCACTTCACAGTGCTTTACAGCCTTCTCTAAGCATTTTACAGAGACAGCATCTTGCTCTCAACAGTCTGGATCCTCATTTTACCGACCTCAGAAGGACGAAAGTCTGAGTCGATCTTCAGCCGGTTAGGATCGAACTCCTGGCAGTGGGCAGAGTTAGCCTGCAATGTTGCAGTCTAACCACAAGGAAGGAAGGAAGGAAGGAAGGAAGGAAGGAAGGAAGGAAGGAAGGAAAGAACACTTAGACTTATATCCTGCTTCACAGTGTCTCTAAGCGGTGTACAGAGTTAGCCTCTGGACCCCAACAATCTGGGTCCTCATTTTACCGACCTCGGAAGGACGGAAGGCTGAGTCTGCCTTGGGCCGGTCAGGATAGAACGGCTGGCAGTGGGCAGAGTTAGCCTGCAATACAGGCAGTTCTCAACATACAACCACAATTTTGAGCTCAATTTTTTTCTGGTTGAGTGAGCCATTTGATAAATCAGTTTTGCCCCATTTTACGACCATTTTTCTTGCCACAGTTGTTAAGTGAATCGCTGCCATTGTGAAGGTTGTGAAGTGAATCTGGCTTCCCCATTGACTTTGCTTGGCAGAAAGTCGCAAAAGAGGATCATGTGACCCATGGGACACGTAAAATGGTCATAAATACGAGTCAGTTGTCATGTATTTGAATGTAAATCACGTCTCAATGGGGATGCTGCAATGGTTGTGAAAAACGGTCATAAGTCCCTTTTTTCAGTGCTGTTATAACTTTGAATGGTCACTAAACGAACTATTGTAAGTCAAGAACTGCCTGTATTGTCCCAGGGCTCCTTAGGTACAGGTGATTAGCAATCATTTAGTGACCATTCAAAGCTTCAACAGCACTGAAAAGAGTCACTTATGACTGTTTTTCACACTTACAACTGTTGCAGTGTCCCCATGATTAACGTGATTAAAATTTGGGTCCTTGGCAACTGGCATGGACTTTTAATTCTTGCAGCATCCCAAAATTACGTGATCACCATTCGTAGCCTTCTCCAGCAGTTTCCAAGAAGCAAAGTCCACATAAAGCCAGATTCAATCTTTCTGACCAAGGCTTCCTGAGACCATAATTAAGCACATGCTTAGTTAAAACAACTCTTGTTTTATTTCAGTGCTGGGAATTATGTTCATTCCCAGCCAGTAATGAGTACCAAACAGTCTCTCGAGATAAGCACCCACCTTTCTCTCCTTTGAATTGCTGCCAACAACTAAAGCGCCAAATTAACTGTAAAAAACCAACCTAAGTACAAAATCCACACAGAGCTTCAAGGATTAATCTGAACAGCATGAACGACTTTGCTTCCTGCAAAGGTTTCTCTACCTTTGCCTGTCCTTTATTCCTTATGGGAGGGCAATCACCTCCCAGCCTTATTTCCGAGTTGCCCCTTTTGTCTCAGCTGCTCTCGCCTTCTAGCAGCTCTGCGCACACGTGTACTGGGAACAGGCACCCCTTGGTCCTCTGCCTCGCTGCTGCCAGACTCCAGAGGCAGCACCCCACTCCCAGATGGTCCTGGCCCCATCTCTGCATCAGACACAGGACTCTCGTCCAAGGCCTCCCCAGACTCCCAGACTGGTCCCCATTCTTCCCCACTGTCGGATTCCACTGCCATCTGCACAGGCTGCCAATGAACCCACAGCATGATCAACAACGTGATTCACTTAACAGTAAGTAGAAATTTTGGTCTCAATTGTGGTTGTAATTCGAGGACTGTAACTGCATTCCACGGGTCCTTCTCAGCTCGGCTGATCTTCACCTCAGTTAGTTTTGGGGGGTGGCTTTCCTTGGGATCCCAAACCAACTAATTTTATTTTAATTTTCACCTGTCTTGTGCAAACCCAGAACATTATTCCTGAGCTGTTCATGTTGTGTAAATCCAGCCTGTCTCCTGTTGTTCCTTTCTTCTTCTTTGCATTACTGTCCTTCTCTTTGAGTGGTGCGGTGGCCTAGAGGTAGAGCTTCCGCCTCACAATCAGGAGGCTTGTTTGATCCCAGGTAGAGGCAGATATTTCTCTCTCTCTGGACACGTTGAGAATGTATCTGCTGAACAAAACTCCGCATTGGCAACAGGAAGGGCATCCGGCCAGTAAACACTCAGCTCCTCCATTCAGTTGCCCAGACTCCACCCCGCAAGGGATAAGGGCCATGATGGCAAACCTATAGCACGTGTGCCATAGGTGGCACGCAGAGCCATCTGTGCCGGCACGCGAGCTGCAGGCAAACTTTCCTCGCTGTGCATGTGCGTGTCTGACAGCTGATTTTCAGCCAGTTTGGGGCCTTTTTCGGCCTCCCCAAAGGCTTCAGGAAGGCTTCTGCAGGCTTTGCAGGCCGAAAAACTAGCCCCGTTTTGTCACTTCCGGTATTTTCGGAAAAACAGGAAGTGACAAAACAGGGCTAGTTTTCGGCCTACAAAGAAAAGAAGCCTTCCTCAAGCCTTTGGGAGGCCGAGAAAGGCCCCAAACCGGCTGAAAATCAGGTGTGAAGTGCAGTGCAGGTAAGGGGGCGGCGGGGATGGGTGGGGGTGGGATTGCGCCCGCATGCATAGGGGGCGTGGGGTGTGTGTGCATTGCCTTCTGGGTGGCATGCAAGCGCGCGCACTATTTTTGGCACAGGAGCCCCAAAAGGTTAGCCACCACTGGATTATGGGGTCGTTAAAAGAGGATAATTGCTATCCCACTTTTCCTCCCTTCCAGGACAAATTTTGAAGCACCATGGAAGGTGTCCTGTGAGCAGAAGAACCAGCAGCGAGGCAGGTGAGTGGTCCTTTCGCTTACGTCCAGGTCGTCCTTTGTGATCCTTGCTGGATTCCGGGTTTCCTCTTATCCTGACTACGGTTTTCCTTTCCCCCCCCCCACCTCAGGATTGTGTCACTGAAAAAAGAAGAAGAAGAATGATGGAAGAGAGTGGGATAGAGACAACACCCCCCACGACCCCCCCACCCACTGCCACCTGGGCTGCCTCTCCTCCTGCACCCCCAGCCTCACGAGGTATCCCTTCTCCGGCCGTGTCCCGCCTTCTTCATGGTTGCACCCAGAAGCTTCCCGGTGTCCCTGCAAAGCCAAAGCGTGTGGAGTGGGGCGGTGGTTGAACAATTGTGGGCGATCGCTTTCCCACCCTAGATAGGGTCTTTTCTTTCAGCAAGGCCATTAATTTCACCATCCATGGCCAATCCCATTCGGCTTGCCCTCAGAAGTTGTGGGAGCTTCATCCCTGGAGGCCTTCAAGAAGAGTCCGGACTGCCATCGGTCAGAAACGGTGTAGGGTCTCCTGCTTGGGCGGGGGGGGTTGGACTAGATGACCTCTAAGGTCCCTTCCAACTCTCGTTGTTCTGTTCTGTTCTGACAAACAAAGTCAACGGGGAAGCCAGGTTCACTTTAACAATCAGGCTACTAACTTAACAACTGCAGTGATGCACTTAATAACTGTGGCAAGAAAGGTTGTAAAGTGGGGGGCAAGACTCACTTAACAAATGTTTCACTTAGCGACATAAATGGTGGTCATAACCCGAAGATTAACTTCTATTTCACATTTCTATACTCCTTCAAAGAAGGGTCTCCAGGGACCGATTTTAATACCCTTTCTTCGTTGTTGTTTTTCCCCCTCTTCCCCTGCCGGCAGCCCCTCTCCTTCTTCCAAAGGACCCCCCTACTTCCTCTTTTCCCTCTCCCGCCTTCTCCCCCACCGCACCCCCCCTGGTCTCCCCCCTTCCTCCTGCACCCCCCGCTTCTCTTTTGCCTCCTGCAGCCATTTGCACAAGCCCCCCTCCTGGGACCGCCAGCCTGCCCTCCGTCGCTGCTCCGATGACCTCCACTTTTGGTAACCCCATGACTCAGTTTCCCGCAGTTGTGCCGCCACCGCGAGTTGCTCCCGGGTCCCAGGAGTTTTCCGTGCCTCCCACTGGGCCTCCAATCTCGGGCTTTTCCATGACTTCCAGCTATGACATCACAAAAGGCCACGCGGGACGAGCACCCCAGACCCCACTGATGCCCTCCTACACGGCTCCGCCTGTCACAGGTATGCCGAGAAAGCCCTTCCTTGCTTCCAGAGACGGTGTAAAGAGAAGGAGGGCCTTCTTTGAGCTTCTGGGTTCTAAACACCTGTCTCAAACCATTGGATGTCGTGACCCAAAGGTGCTTTTTTCAGGAGGCCACTGGACTTTCTTGGTTTTTTGTTTGAAGAGGTTTCCCTTCTCATCCGAGAAGCGTCTTCAGCTCTGACTGGATGGTGGGGAATGGAAGGATTTATATTCCTTGAAGACAAAGCTGGTCATTTGCATCCTTTTTAGAGGGTCGCTGAGGCCACTTGGAAGTTTATCTGTGTCCTCAGATAAACATCTTTTGAAGACATTTTGCTTCTCATCCAAGAAGCTTCTTCAGCTCTGAATGGATGATGGAGAATAGAAGGATTTATACTCCTTGCAGGCAGCTTGGTCATTTGCACCCTTTTAGAGACCCGCTGAGGCCACTTGGAGGTTTATCAAGGTCACCTGAGTGGTGCTCCTGGTTCCTGTAGTCTGCATTTTTTTCCTCTGGAAATCCATTCCTCCCCCCACACCATTCCAAGGATGTCCAACCCAAATTGTATAGTTAAAAATCTATAGAGATTCTCCATCATTCAGGTGATGGTTGTCCCCAAGGGGCCTTTTCAGGAGGCAACTGGACTTTCTTTGTTTGTTCTTTTGAAGATGTTTCTCTTCGCATCCCAGAAGCTTCTTCAGCTCTGATTGGATGGAGGGGAAGGGAAGGATTTACACTCCTTGCAGACTGCTGGTCATTTGCATTCTTTTAGATGGTCATTGAGGCCACTTGGGGGTTTTGTCTGTGTCTTCAGGGTCACCTGAGTGGTGCAAATGGATGTGGAGCCTTCTTGGAACTGTTGAAAGGATTTTATCTGTTATTTATTATTTTATTCTAGGACAGGGGTGTCAAACCCGTCCAAAAGAGAGGAGAAGCAAAACGTCTTCTAAGAAAAAAACCCCACAAAGTCCAGTGGCCTCCTGAAAAGCACCTTTGGGACAACCTGGATGACGGAGAATCTCTGCAGACGATGGATGTCGTGGCTGCAGTCCTTATATGCACGTATTCTGATTTTTCAGGTGCCTTGGCAAGCCCTCTGTCGCAGCCGGTCCCTCTGCCTGCCTCCCCCTCAGCAAGCGGCTCTTCCATCACTTTCCCAGAGGATCATGGAGACCCCCAAAGCATTGGGGTGTACAATGAGGCATCTGCGGGAGGACTCTGGGGCTTCATAAAAGTAAGCTGTACTTTTCTAGCGACCACGTAATGTAGCAGTCCCCGGCCGTTGCGGCTTGGCAGCCCGGCTGGAGGGGAGGGGAATCGGGCTGCATGAGGACATTTACCTTTGTAGCATCCCCCATGGTCACATGATCAAAACTCAAACACCTGGCCACTGTTTTTATTACAGGACAATAATAAAAACAAGGACAAATAGGCTGAAAAACAGCTTCTATCCCAGGGCAGGAGCTCTGTTGAATTCTACTGTCTAGTGCAATATGAATGCAATATCTGTTCTGACCAAGGCTTCCTGTGACCATAATTAAGCACACGCTTAGTTAAAACAACTCTTTTATTTCAGTGCTGGGAATTATGTTCATTCCCATCCGGTAATGAGTCCCAAACAGTTCCTTGAGATAAGCACCCACCTTTCTCTCCTTTGAGTTGCAGCCAACAACTAAAGTGCCAAATGAACTGTAAAAAACCAAAGTCCACACAGAGCTTCAAGGTTGAATCCGAACGACTTTGCTTCCTGCAAAGGTTTCTCTACCTTTGCCTCTTCTTTATACCGTATGGGAGGGGCAATCACCTCCCAGCCTTACTCCCAAGTCGCCCCTTTTTTCTCACCTGATCTTGCCTTCTGGCAGCTCTGCGCACAGATGCACTGGGAACAGGCTCCCCCGGTTCCTCTACCTCGCTGGTGCCAGACTCTGGAGGCAGCACTCCACTCCTAGATGCTCCTGGCTCCATCCCTACATCGGATGGAGGACCCTCGTTCGAGTCCTCCCCAGACTCCCAGACTGGTCCCCGTTCTTCCCCACAACAATATCAGGGGTTTTCAATTCAATGTATAGCATGCGAAGGTGTTGTGTTTGTGTTTATTTTCATAGTCATAATGTACACTGAAAATGGTATTTAACTTTGTTGTATGAGGCGCAACGACAATAAAATAAACTAGTTCATATTTACGACGGTCATGTGATCCCCTTTTGCGGCCTTCTGCCAAGCAAAGTCAGTGGGGAAGCCAGATTCACTTAACAACGGGGTTACTAACTTATCCACTGCAGGGATTGGCTTAACAACAGAGGCAAGAAAGGTCGCAAAATAGGGCAAAACTCATTGTCTCACTTAACAACAGAAATGTTGGCCTCCATTGTGGTCAAGTCGAGGACTACCTGTACTGGGGGTTGGAATTTTCAGGATTGCACAGTGCTTAAGTTGGCAGGATTGGGAAACACTGGCCTAACCGATCTGTCCTGATGCTACTGATTTCAGGAGATGCCAAATATCCGATTTCTTCCCCAAAGTAACCATCTAGAAAGCTAGCAAAGGAGAAACGAAGCCACTGTTGGGGCCCTTTGTTAGCCTGACAGGCAAGCTAAGTTTGATGACTTCCACCTTTGTTCCCCCAGGGCGTGGCTGGCAATCCTATGGTGAAGTCAGTGCTGGATAAAACCAAACACTCGGTGGAGACGATGATCACAACGCTGGATCCTGGCATGGCCCCCTATATCAGTAAGGGAAGCTGCAACTTATTGTGTTATTCTGAACCAGGACTTTGCCTGCTCTTAACTGTCAGTGCTGCCTCAATCAAGTCACTTAGGAAAGAAAGACCTTCGACTACGTTTAGGTCAGTGGCTTCCAATGTTTTGGGCAACAGGGACCGGTTCCATGGAGAGAGGTTTTTGCGTGGATCGGAGGGGCGTGGTTTCACATGCTGCCTGCATCCCTCGGATGGGGCTTCGCTTGTTGTATGGACCAGTTTCTGGCATGTCGCAGGCCTGTGCTGGTCCATGGACCGGGGTTGGGACCCCGGATTTAGGTGAAGTGATAGGTTCTTTTACTAAAGGTTGCTGGTTGCAGCCAACAACTTAAGACTTCTGGACTTCAACTCCCAGAATTCCCGAGCCAGCAAGCCTGGCTGTCAACTAAAAAAATACTTTTTTGGTCTTTTTAGTTGCCAGCAGAAAGGGAGTGGGAAAAGTAGTGCATTCCTTAAATGCTTCAGATAATTGCTAGGCAGCCGAAGCTTTTGGCATGCAAGATTATTACTGGAGAGCATGATTGATGACTCTTGACTATGGATGTGTCCCATTGGAGAATATACATCCAGGGGGTGGGGGGAAGACCAGGGTCAAGGGGGAAATGTGTCTTAGAGTCGGCTGCACCCGGGTAACGCCGGCATGGTCACTCCTAATAAATCATTTCTTTTTACTCTGAGAGATGTGGCTAGAGACTTACGATTTGAATGGGGGTGGATTGTCAGAGCCCTGACACAGGCAACTTTGAGACTTCTGGACTTCAACTCGCAGAATTCCCCAGACAGCAAACTTGGTAACTTTAAGACTTGTGGATTTCAACTCCCAGAATTCTCCAGCCAGCATGACTGGGTGAGAAATTCTGGGAGTTGAAGTCCATAAATTTTAAAGTAGCCAAGGTTGGAGACCCTTGGTTTAAGGTCTTCTCCAGCAGCACAATTCAGAAGCATCAATTTTTGGCACTCAGCCTTCTTTCTGGTCCGACACCCAAAGCCATCCATTATTCCTGGGAAAACCATAGCTTTGACTCTACGGAGTCTTTGTTGGCAAGAGTTTCAAGTGTGTTTTGTGATAAAAGCTTTTGTCTTAAGTTACGGTGTGGCCAGCTTGTTTTGGCCTCGTCTTCGGCACAAAGGTAATTTTGGGTGTTTCTGCTTTCTAGAATCAGGAGGAGAGTTGGACATCGTGGTCACCTCACTGAAAGAGGTCAAGGTCGCTGCAGTGAGACAAGCTTTCCAGGATGTTTTTGGTATGGCTACCGTAACAGGGGAGGACGGCCACTCCAACATAGCCCCCCAGCCTGTTGGCTACGCAGCTGGATTGAAAGTGAGTGATTTGGGAAAGTGTTGAATTTCCAAAGATTTGCAGAATAGAGCAGAATAGAATAGAAATAAGAATAGAATAGAAATAAGAATAGAATAGAACAGAACAGAATAGAATAGATATTGGAAAGAATAGAATAGAATAACAGTAGAATAACAATAGAGTAGAAATAAAAATAGAATACAGTAGAATAAGGGTAGAGTAGAAATAAGAATAGAAGTAGAGTAGGATAGATATTGGAAGGAATAGAATAGAATAGAATATTCTTTATTGGCCAAATGTGATTGGACTTCACGGCATAAGCTCTCAGTGTATATAAAAGATATAAATGAAAATCATAGTCATCATAAAATACGTTCATCATAACTCATAAGCATCATAATTCATAAACATCATAAATCATAAGCATGTTGGCACTTCAAGAATCAGGTATACACAACATGCTGAATTCTCAACCCGGTTTAGGAAAAGGCAAATGTCATTTTTTTTACTGAATATCCAGAGAGCCAACGAATAAACCAGATAAGGTCTTAATGGGAAGGAGTGGTTCACATATTAAGCCATGACAAAGCTACTTTGATTCCCATGGATGCTGAATCAAATTTTGAGCCTAGCTGAACGTACTGTGGAAACTCAGCCAGAGAATCATTTGAGTTCTGTTGGGAAAAAATATCAAATAACCCATAGGGTTGATTTGCACGTGGTATTAAGCCATGAGGTTTTATTGTGGCTTACTGAATTGGTCACAAATAGCTTATTCGCTGCCCTTAGCCGTAAATCTTGGTTTATAAATCACAGCCACTAGGTTTCTCTAGTGGAAATATAATTATCACTAATAATAAAAAGGTTTACTGTATAACATCATAGAATTATAATCGGTGCAGGGATTTGCACATATATCACACCCTTAACTTTTAGATTCTGCGGTTCTTGAAAAGAATTTGATGCCTATGAAGGCCAACACTGGTTAATGAACCAGTTCACATTGTTGTGAACAGATGATAATATTGCTTCTTCCAGGTCCCTGGGAAGGACTCGATAGGTGGATGAAAATGCCAATTTCAATCCTGAACATCTGATTGGCTTACACCAAACCAATATAATCATAGTACAGCCAAAGGCCTGAAATATTTAATACCACCAAAAACTGCAAAGTGCAACACAATTACAGTATACCAAATTCAATAAAAACATTAGAATGGATGATACATGAATTAGATTGTAATTGGCAATCATTTTCATTGACACTCTGCAAGATTTTGCTACCCACTGAATTATGGAAGGTTCAGCATTTGAAAAAGAACAAAATCAGATAAAAATTGTCTGTTTGTCCTAGGCTTTGGATAAAGGAGAAGTAAAATAGACAGTTTAGATATACAATTCCGTTCTGGCTATCCCAAACGTGCTTTTTTCAAGAGGCAACTGGGCTTTATTGTTTTTCTTTGAAGAAAAAAACATGGAAGGATTTATACTCCTTGCAGGCAGCTGGTCATTTGCATTCTTTTAGTGAGTCATTGAGGCCACTTGGAGGTTCATCTGTGTCCTCAGAGTCACCCGAGTAGTGCAAATGGGCGTGGAAGGACCCATTTATTTGAGGACACAGATTTATTTGAGGATACAACTAAACCTCCAAGTGGCCTCAACAACTCTAAAAGGATGCAAATGACCAGCTGTCTGCAAGGATTATAAATCCTTCCATTCTTCACCATCCAGTCAGAGCTGAAGAAGCTTCTTAGATGAGGAGCAAAATGTCTTCAAAAGAAAAAGTTGCCTCTTCAAAAAGCACCTTTTGGACAACCATGACCTGGATGACTAAGAATCTCTACATCCATTCTGGCTGATCTTTGAGTGCCCCACCAGTCTTCCCTAAAGCTTAAATTGTACAAATTACTCAAATGGAAATAAACCCAGCGGTCAGCAGGGCGGTTTTGCTCTTGGGGGTGGCATGCAGGGCTGTGATTCGATTTGGTGTCTTTTATTTGTTTTCCTAGTATGTTTTATCAGGCATGATATTCTTCCAATTAAAATCGGAATTCCGATTTTTTTGGGAATCGCCCCCTCCTTTCCCCCACCCCTTCTTCTCCTCCTTCCCCTCCCCTCGGAGGCCCCGAGTCAGGAGTTGCTGGCGCGGCTCTGCGTGGCTCCAGTCCCACGTTGCCTCAGGAAGGGAAAGGCAAAAAGGAAGAGCCGCGGCGGCGCTTTGCAACGGCAGCAGCGGCTCCTGGTTTTGCCTTTCCCTTCCCGAGGCAACGCGGGACTGGAGCCGCGCGGAGCCGCGCCGGCGGTAGCAACTCCTGACAGCCCCAGCCGGATACCTGAGCGGAGCCCGGGCGGTGCGAGCGGAGGCCGCTGAGCGGTAGGAAAAGGGAGCTGGGCCAGCCACAGACCAGCCTCCGTGCAACACGCCACCGCCCGGCCCCGGCGAGGGAAAGCAGCGGGCGCTCCCCAGGCGCGCGGTGGGGGGTCTCTTTTGGCCGGCCCCGATTTTTTTTTCAGAGCGGAATATCATGCCTGTTTATTTTATTTATTTTATTAGTATTATTTTATTTGATTCAATTTGGTATTTTTTGTTTTCCTTGAATGTTTTGATTGCGTATTCGTAAGCTATGTCTGATTTGATTGCTTATAGTAACATTACTATTACTAAGTGTTGTATCTTACGTTTCTTCGTGAATATATTTTATTTTTTCTTTATGTACACTGAGCGTATGCACCAAAAACAAATTCCTTGTGTGTGCAATCACACTTGGCCAATAAAGAATTCTATTCTATTCTATTCTATTCTATTCTATTCTATTCTATTCCTTCCAATATTTATTCTATTCTATTCCAATTCTGGGCCTTGTTTTGGTTTAGTGGATGTGGTTGGTCCGAAATAAGTGGCCAGCCCTGTGTTGTTTCATGCTTTTGGTACTTTCCTTGATTTTTAGGGGGGTCAAGAGAGGCTGGACAGCCTACGCAGGACTGGGGTCATCCACCAGAAGCAACCAGCCGTGTCCGTGGAGAGTTTCATCGCAGAATTGCTCCCCGACAAGTAAGACAAAGTACTTCAAACGCAGATGGGAATTTGCAGTTAGATAAAGAATTGCCATCCCCCCCCCCTTCTCCTGTCCCCCTCCCCCTTCTTATAAAGGTAGTCCTGACTTACGACCGCAATAGAGAGCCCAAAGTGCCTGTTGCTAAATGAGACATTGGTTGAGTTTTGCCTCAGTTTATGACCTTTCTTACCACAGTTGTTAAGCTGCTCACTTAGCAACTCCGTTAACTTAGTCACACTGTCGTTAAATGAATTTGGCTTTCCCATTGACTTTGCTCATCAGAAGGTCACAAAAGGGGATCAACATGGCCTAGGACATTGCCACCATCATAAATATGAACTAGTTGCCCTGAATTTTGATCACGTGACCCTGGGGGTGCTGCAATGCTTGTGAGTGTGAAAAATGCTCATAAATCACTTTTTTCAGTAGCCCATCTTCCCTCCAAGACAAAAAGCCCCCTTCCTGTTTCCCCTTCCCCTTCTTGTTTATTTATTTATTCTCTCTCTCTCTCTTTATCTATCTATCTATCTATCTATCTATCTATCTATCTATCTATCTATCATCTATCTATCTATCATCTATTTATCTCTAAGTGCTATTGCTATCCATCCACCCATCTAATCAGCTATCTATCTATCTATCCATCCATCCATCCATCCATCCATCCATCCATGTATCTATGTCTGTGCTATTGCTATCCATCCACTCATCTAATCAGCTATCCATCCATCATCTATCTATCTATCATCTATCTATCTCTAAGTGCTATTGCTATTGCTATCCATCCACTCATCTAATCAGCTATCCATCCATCCATCCATCATCTATCTATCTATCTATCTATCATCTATCTATCTATAAGTGCTATTGCTATCCATCCACTCATCTAATCATCTATCTATCTATCTATCTATCTATCTATCTAGTTTTACAATCAAGGTAAAAACTTAACACAAACAAAAGGTGAGAAAAGAAAAAGGAAGAAAAAAAACCCAAAGCACAGAAAGAAGACAAGCTTCCAATTTCTTTGGAGCAAACAATTATAATTGTACAATTATAAAATTCTCTCAATAGCAAAAGAAAGCTCACTCTTTTCTATTATCAAGTCTTTTTTTCTAATTAACAAAAAAACCTTGATTGATCATGTGCATTTCCCCCCCATTCTACGCAAAAAATCTATAAGGGGTTTCCAGTCAGCCATAAATATAGCTTTTGTTCCCCTCTGAGGAATGCTAAGGCAGTTTTGCCCCATTTTACGATGTTCCTTGTGCCAGTTACTAAGTGAATCACTGCCATTAAGTTAGTAACATGGTCATTAAGTGAATCTGGCTTCCCTCGTTGACTTTGCTTGTCAGAAGGTCGCAAAAGGGGATCGCGTGACTCCGGGACACTGCAGCCGTCATAAATAGAAACCAGATGCCAAGCGTCCAAATTTTGACCATATGACCACAGGGATGCTGCAACGGTCATAAGCGTGAAAAATGGTTGTTTTTTCCGCAATGCCGTTGTAATTTCATCGTCACTAAATGGATTATTGTAAATCAAGGACTACCTGTATGAACAGGCAGAGTCCCGAACTGGGGGAAATTGGGAAGAGCTGGTCTAATTAGCCTCCGGGTGGACATCAGTATGATGGATTGTCTGAAACCATGTAGGGTTTCCTGCTTGAGCAGCGGGTTGGACTAGAAGACCTCCAAGGTCCCTTCCAACTCTATTCTGATTGATTGATGGAATAAAATCTAAAATGTACCCCCCCCCCCCCAAAAAAAATAAATCTTTACAGGTGGTTTGATATTAGCTGCCTGATCCTGGAGGATCCAGTCCACGGGATTCACCTGGAAAGCTTTACTCAAGCCACACCGATACCTCTGGAATACATACAACAGGTGAGTCTTTATGGCCCCCCTAAGGTGAGATCATCCATCCCCCAGGCAGGGATGACAAATTTCAAAACTCTGTGTGTGTGTGTGTGTATATATATATGTATATATATTGTGTGTATGTATATATATGTATATATATTGTTCAGAAAATACCAGAACAAAGCTGAATACCATACATATAAATACCCGTGAAAACTTAAGAAAACGTATATGTATGTGTGTATATGTGTGTATATACTGTGTGTGTGTGTGTGTTTTTGAAGCAGGCAATTTAGAAAAGCGACTGTTTTTCTAAAGAGGCTTAATTCGGTCTTTTTCAGAATTGGGGGGGGGGGGAATGCATCCGTGGGAATAAAATCAAGGAGAGAAAAAAAAAACGGACTCCTATAATATGTGATTTTGCTCTTCTGGTTTGTGTTCTTTTTAGTGAATAAAATGTTAAAGCAGGCAGGTCTGCCCACATTATCAAATCTGGTTTAGTCTCTGTGGTACATCCGTCACCTATGATTTAATATTATGAAAGACCCAGCCAGTTGTGGCTTGTTCAATTGTGGCTTGAAACAGTTATTGTTTCCTAGTATGGTTTGATGGCTTATTGTACTCTATGACTATTCTTGACTCTTGATGAATGTCTCTTTTCTTTTATGTATACTGAGAGTATTTGCACTGAGACAAATTCCATGTGTGTCCAATCACACTTGGCCAATAAATAATTCTATTCTATTCTATTCTATTCTATTCTATTCTATTCTATTCTATTCT